GTCCAAGCAGTCACTGCAGGGTCAGCAATGACTGAGCGCAGACAAAAAAAAAAAAAAAAGGGATGGGGTATGGGATGAAGAGATAAATGTTTGTAACCTTCGAGGGGAGTGAAGAGTCATTTAATTGTTTATACTTGTTGTGATGAAGGTTGGAAGTCACTTCCTTATATATTGTTTTTCTCTTTATTATATTCTTTTTTCTTTCTTCTCTCTTTCTTTGTTTTCTTTTTCTTTTTCCTTGCATCTTCTATCCTTTCTTTCTCTTCTCTTTAAGTTTAGTTTCTATTAGATTTTACTACTGTAATAAAAAGTCTTAATAAAATTATATATCCACATCTCTGTATATTAAAAACTATCCCAGCTTAAAACTATATCTGAAGTTAGTAGCTCTTGAATGTGCTTTCTTAGCCGTTAGTGGGTGATAATGCTGAGCACCAAGCCAATCACATTTCCGTTAGAAGAATAGCAGCAGGCCAGGCCATCTGACAAATTGCAATGCGTTGCAGCCCTGTGGGAATGTTTTCTTTAAAACAAACAACAATAAAGCCCAACTCCTGGTAATTATCTGGTTGTGGACCCTTGCAATGCTTTTTAACCACCTGGAAGCTTCCCTTTCTATCCTGTTCCCTTTATTGGGTTCTTCGCAAATTAAAACATAATAATTGCTCCCTCATTAAACAGCAACTGTTCTTCCAGCTGGAGGGGGAAAAAAATCCTGCCTGCCCCACCTCCAGTCACTAGCAAGCAGGAAGATTGTTTTAGGCAGATTCATGCAAAATAGGAACATGGGCAAGCAACTTGATCCTCATGTGGTCCCTAGGAGTTGAAAATGATTTGTTGGCAGATAATCAGTGTTTCCTTTCACACCATCAGGTTCCATGTCCTGCTTAGCCTTATTTTTTAAAAGATGGATTTAATTTTAAAAAGGTGAAATCTGGAATTGTTCAACTCAAAGCCCTCTCAGTCTGCAACATCGTTAATCGACACTATCTTTGTTTACAAGCATTGCTTGAGGTCCCACACAGGCCTCCGAGGCTTTGGAAAATAAAGAATCAGTGGCCACAACTCTGGATTCTTTGGTTTCCTTGAAAAATATTGGTGGGGGGGACCAATTAGCTGGGATGGTTGAAAGCAGAGCAGAGGGCAACCTCCCCTGTTTGCCTTTCAGTAAATGGGGGCTTTGTAGTAACCATGATCTGTGCAGCAAAAAGTCAGATGACCACAAGAGAGCAGCAAAGAGAGACAGAAAACTCTCTTTGCTTCCACCCAGTGGTGGTCTTGATTTTAACAACCCAGATCTAATAGACCAGAGTTTCTCAACCTCAGCAACTTTAAGATGTGTGGACTCCAGCTTCCAGAATTCCCCAGCCAGCAGAATTCTGGGCGTTAGTCCACGCATCTTAAAGTTGTCGAGGATGAGAAACACTAATAGACCACCTAAGTGAACAGGCCTGCTATGGCAACCATGTTGTAAGAGGCCCCCTCTTCTCAGAATTCGCAGGGGGCCCCAGGCCCAAAACTTTGCGTACTCCTGAACCATGCTGTGGACGGGTTGTTTTTGACTCAGCTCTGCTGAGTCAGAGGTCTGAACTGACTCTTGCACTGACTATTGATTAGGCCAAAGGTTGCATTTACCTCTCCATCCAGCTGAATTGAGGGCTGGGAGGCCTTTTTATCAGTGTGTGCTTGTTGTGGGGGAGTGCTGTATTTTAACAGTCTATTTAATCCAGTCCTTTGGCAACCATCTCCTATTCTCTCTTCAGGACCTACCATGCGGAGCCTTTTATGTCTTCTTTTCCTGTTCAAAATTCTAGTTCCTGGTTTTGCTGCCTCCCTCCGTAGCCAGTCTGACCAGCAACAGACTCAAGAAGGTAAAAGTAGCTGAGAAGGGGGGATTTGGTACCCAAATGAAGTGGCAGAATTATGGAGGAGGATGCTCGTGTGCCTTGCAAACGAAAGGAGTGTCAGAGGATGTTAAGAATGGGCGATGGAATAGCGGTCGCAGTGCTTCAGACTCAAAGGTGAAACACTGCTTTGGAGCACGTGGGGGCATTTAAGTAACTCCTGCTTGCTACTCCTGAAAACAAGTGCCTCTATTCCTGGGATTGTTTGATAGCTGGAGAAGGTGGCCATGCGATGCTAGGAAAAGACAGAGCTGCGTTATGGAGTTGCAGGCAAGGGGTACATAACCACCCACATGGACACCTCAAAGCACCTTTTTGCCTGAGATTCACATCCCAGCTATGGAAGTGCTAGTTAATATCCCCCAGTGCTCCTTCAGTATTTTTAATTGCCTTAAATTATTTTAGGTTCTGCAGCAAATCAAAAAAGCACAGTCACATTTCTACTTTAACTTCCAAGCTTTCCCAAGCGATAAACTGACATCCAGTTTCTTAGATGCAAATGCTCCTGAAAAATGGGGGTCATAAGTGATAGGATGAATTTTCTCTAAAGGAACCTTTACTAAACCAGTTTTATTAAAAGACATTTAGATAGGACTGGTCTTCCTTTAAAAAAAAAATTATTAAAGATTAACATTGTGGTAGTAAAAATGAATGCAAACTAAAAG